AAGACGAGCTGTGATTAGTCGGGTCGGGACGCACGCGAAGTGCGCATGCGCATAGGCGCGGGGGCGGGGCTATCTCATATATTTCGCAAGTCATAAATTTCGCGCTACACCGGTATACCAGAACGTACCCTGGTCACTATTTGATATGGTTAGGGTTAGGATTAGGATTAGGGTTAGGGAGTAGGCGTAGGCGACTCCCTAGACTCGTTAGTGGAGTAGGCGAGGTACGGTCCGGCATATTAGATAGTACCAGGGTACGGTCCGGTATACCAGAACGTACCCTGGTAACTATTTGATATGGTTAGGGTTAGGGTTTGGGTTAGGGTTAGGGAGTAGGAGTAGGCGAGGTACGGTCCGGCATATTAGATAGTACCAGGGTACGGTCCGGTATACCCGAACGTACCCTGGTCACTATTTGATATGGTTAGGGTTAGGATTAGGGTTAGGGTTAGGGAGTAGGCGTAGGCGACTCCCTAGACTCGTTAGTGGAGTAGACGAGGTACGGTCCGGCATATTAGATAGTACCAGGGTACGTTCCGGTATACTGGACCGTACCCAGGGTACGTTCCGGCAGTACCCCGGGGGACATAGACCCTCTCAGCAGCAGTAGGCCTACCCAAGGAGATATAGACCCTGGCAGCGTTAGTGTTAGTTTATTTAGTGTTCGCAATGACACTCCTTACAGTTACACCATGTAAAATTTTAAAATATTACACCCAAGAAACTTTTATAAAAGTTTATTGATAGTGCACGGCACTATCACAGCCTCAGAGAAATGAATGCCATGATGCACTGCCACTGAGTGACTCAATGACTGTGTCACGTGTGTGTCACTGTGTGTACACTGTACGTCCGGTTCAAGGATATTTTTGAGTGCATAATTTTGAGGTATATTAGATTGTGCGGGGCAAGGACACATAAACTAAACATAAACATATCTAGTGTACGTACCGTAATAAGGCATGCAAAGTGTATTTACACACCATGCATAGGCCTATATATCTCAAAGTGATGCTCTGATCTATGTACTTGTAATAATGTATCACAAATTGATTCAAAGTTATAAATTATTGTGTGATACATATTGATGTACTTTTAAGTCATTATGAGATTCAAAGATATTGACAGTGGGTGTAAAATGAAATTACACTAGCTTCACACATATGTACCATACATTTGGGTTTCCCCAAACATTGGTGGCTGATTGTATGAGAGACTAGCTTCAGGTAGAGACCCCATGCAGTGTTCCTTCATTAGATGGGAGCCTTCCAAGTTTCAAACTTCATCATCATTGGAAATTTGATGTTCTAGTTTGATTTGGTTGTCACAGCCACAAAGGTACCTCAGCACAATGAAAATTGCATCAATAGTAGAAACCTATAAAGGAGTAGCTCTATTGATTGTTTCACATCTACTTTATAAGTGTTGTGAAAATGATCATGCCAACAGCTACTAGCGTGCTGGTTCCTTTAATCCCGCAGTGCTCTAATGCAGTGGTTTAATACTCACATTCTTTGTTACTTCTACCTTACTTAATGTTGCTACAACAATTGTGCGACGCATGCTTGGTAGTGTACTGGACAATAAGCGTGACCTCGCTACACAAACATGGGGATTCCTGTACCATGTACAGGTGTAAATCTGCTTTGACGTAACAGAGTGGAATAATTTTAGGAGCAACGCAATCTTATTTCAGTATGCCAACTATGAACAGATGGGAGACTGTGCATGTGTGACAAACTAGCGATATAATTTTGTGGAAGTATGATTAATCTCGAAATTACGACGGAATACTGCCATTTGCCAACCTGCACCCCTCACCACCATGATGATAGTGCTTCACGTGATTGTGTTGTATACAAATCGTAGCATGTAAACATTGCTTTTAGCTTTTATTTGTTATGTGTGTTATACTTGATTATAATTTTATGAAATGAGGGCTGCATGCATAGCAGAATAGTGATGCCACTAGATGATAACCTGTCACAAATTAATCATTTAGACAATTCATTTAGAAGGATTTTGTTATCAGGAAATGACAAGATTTTGTTGAAGGAAATGGAACGTTGTTTCTAAGGACATCCAGTGTGATAACAGGGCAATAGCTAGTGTGTGGGGGGGGGGAGTTGCTCCCTCAGAGAAATGTAGATACGTTACATTATCAATGGCGGTCACCTTTCCAGAACACAAACCGCATGTGGCTTTGCCCCCCCCCCCAAGCAAAATGGGGCCGCTCCTAGATAATCATACCGTTTTGTCTCTCAAGAGGGCGAGGCATTGATTTCCTGTTTGAAATATCTCAACATGCAAAGCTTTTGGGTTGTTTGATTTTTGCACAAGGGAGACATTACTCCCTGCACCGCTCCCTGAATAATGACGAACTCTCGGGTCCTACTAAACAGCGAAATGTGCTACTAAACAGCAAAATGTGCAGGAATGTGTGCGCAATGTATAAAAATATGTAAAAAATGTTATACTAAACAGCGAAATGTGCTACTAAACAGCAAAATGTGCAGGAATGTGTGCGCAATGTATAAAAATATGTAAAAAATGTTATACTAAACAGCGAAATGTGCTACTAAACAACGGAATGTGCGCAGAATGGGTAAGAATGTGGCGCAATGTGCATCAATAACTGCCGCAATGTATCAAAATGTGTGAAAAATGTTATACTAAACAGCGAAATGTGCTACTAAACAGCGGAATGTGCGCGGAATGGGTAAGAATGTGGCGCAATGTGCATCAATAACTGCCGCAATGTATCAAAATGTGTAAAAATGTTATACTAAACAGCGGAATGTGCTACTAAACAGCAGAATGTGTGCGGAATGGGTAAGAATGAAAAGAATGTGGCGCAATGCAGATATTCTATAACAACTATTTCATTAGGTGCAATATTGACTGTTCATTTGTTGATTAAACCTCGTTCCTAACAATCAATGTTTTTAACCTCGTTCCTGACAA